CGCCTTCTTGCGCTTGGCCCACTCCTGAGGTGCGGGGTGTAGGGGCCCGGTGCGCGCAGCGAGATAGTTGAGCGGTGACGAGGTGTGTGTGTGGGAGGGGAGGAGGGGGGGGGGGGGGGGAGGGGTCCTGCTCGGCGATTCGCAAGTGGTGCACGCTCTGGTCGACGCAAGTCACGGTGGCACCGAGCTGGTTGGCAAACGCGAAACTCAGCCGGCCTAGCCCGCACCCAAAGTCGAGGACGCGCTTGCCCGTCAGGTGGAGGCCCTTTGCCACCTTCGCGACGTGTTTTGCGCCGCTCGCGTAGAATCTCACCTTCTCGGTCTCCGAGATGTCGGCCGTCTTTGGGAGGCCGATCAGTACCGACCACCACGCCATGGTCTTCCCCATCGTGTTCCACTCGATCTGGTGCGCGGCAAAAACGGGATAGACGGAGAAGAGCGTGACGTTGTAGTCGCATTTTTCGACATTGTAGATGCGGTAGTCGCCGTTGCTGACCATTCCCGAGACCAGGTTCTCGCTGTTGCTGGCGGTCAGGGCGGTGCCGGTCGGCTGCGCGGCAGGCTGGAGTAGAAGCAGAAGGACGGACATGAAACTGTGTTCCGACACACGCGGCGGGCAAGCGCCGTGGCCGAAAAAGGCGCTGTTCCCGCAAACGCACAACCCCGCCCCGAAATCGCACAGAGTCACGCAACACGGGATCCCAGGGAAGGCGAGCAAAAACCTTCTCGCGCGCGCTAGACGCCGACTCGGAGGCCGCACCGGTCAGGCGCGCAGCCGGAGAGAGAGGGAGGCGCTCAATCGCCGCACGCGGCGAGCGCCTCCATCATCTCCGCCTCATACGCACCCTCCACCCCCGCGACGTTCACACAACAAACGCCGTTCCACACCAAAACGCCGTCCCGACACCGGGAAGACCTCACGTGTACACAGTCACACACCCGCACACACACACACACCACACACACACCACACACACACCACACACACACACACACCGACCTAACCCGACCTCTGACTCACTTCACACTTGGCCGCGCGCCGCGGCGGCGAGGAGAGGGAGGGCCCCGACCGGGTCGCTTTCGCGGGGGTGAAGTGAGCGGCGGAGGCGAAGGCCACCAAGTCAGATGTACCGTCACACAACAAGCGCCGTTCACACTCGGGAAAAAGGTGTGTAGCCCCAAATCGGGTCCTGACTCGACTCGCAGCATCGATTTCAACTCACGCGACGCGCTCGGCCTCCGCTGGCGGCTGCCGCAAGAGCGGCTGGCTCACGACAGCGTCTCGCCGGTTGCCGGATAGGAGAGTACAGGACGTCTGGAGTGTAACTGTGTACGTGAGATTGGTATTGATAACAAGCACGGTCGATCCGTCAAAGCGATACACTCGTTCCTATCTCGCTGGAGGGCTGGCATGGAGCTCTGTGCCGGCACACAGCAAGAGCCGTGCGGCAAGAAGAGCTCGATGGGGAGCGAGAACTGCCAGAGGTGCTCACCCAGGTTTCGGAAGTCCACCCTGATGCGGTCAGTTCCCCCCAGGTTTGACCGCGCAGCTCGCAAGACTCGTCGAGCACTCGCAGCCTTTCTGCGCCTCTCATGCTGCCGCTCTGCGGGAAGTTCCCCCCACGAGCGGCGAAGGAGTGCTCCGCTGGGTCACGCCACGGGGGCCCGCCGCCTCAGTTGCGACTTTCGGATGCGGTAGGGCTTGCACGAGCGCCTGTTCAGTCTACGCTAGACCGAACTGGGGGCGGGGCCTGCTATATAAAATTGAGGTTGGGTAGGTATCGTCGTTGTGGCGGGCCACTCTGCCCTTGGAGCACTTGGAGTGCAGTCAGCAACCGCACATCCAGGGCCGGGGAGCTCAGAAGCGCACCCAGCGGGCCGGATGATTGGCATCGGGTTGCGGGCAAGAGAGCCCTAGCTAGCCCCGGCGCTGCCACTTCCTCTTTTTCCGAGCCAGCGCGCTGAGAGCCTCGAGAGCAGCGGCGCGCTGGAACTGATGGCCGCGTCGTCAAAGAGGAAGGTGACGTATTTCCACGATGCCGACACGATGGGCTCCTACTACTACGGCCCGGGCCATCCGATGAAGCCGCACCGGCTGGCGATGACGCATAACCTCATCCTCTCGTACCACCTCTACCGGAAGATGGAGGTGTGCCGGCCGCACCTCGCCACCGACGAGGAGATGCTCCAGTTCCACGCCGCGGAGTACGTCGACTTTCTGCGGCGAGTGACGCCGGACAACCAGCCCGACTTCTCGAAGCAGCTGCAGCGCTTCACCGTCGGCGACGACTGCCCCGTCTTTGACGGCCTGTACGACTACTGCCGCCTGTACACGGGAGGCTCGATCGACGGCGCGATGCGCCTCAACGCTGGCACTGCCGACGTCGCGATCAACTGGGCGGGCGGGCTGCACCACGCGAAGCGATCCGAGGCGTCCGGCTTCTGCTACGTCAACGACATCGTGCTCGCGATCCTGCAGCTGCTCAAGGTGCACGCTCGCGTGCTCTACCTGGACATCGACATCCACCACGGCGACGGCGTCGAGGAGGCCTTCTTCACGACGGACCGCGTGATGACCGTCTCCTTTCACAAGTACGGCGACTTCTTCTTCCCCGGCACCGGCGACGTCAAGGACGTCGGCATCAGGGCGGGCAAGTACTACTC